CGTTCTCGAAGGCCTATGTCCCCGGTCCTGAATTTGACCTTAAGCTTTGTTCCTGCATCCATTGGTCCATGTAGGTAATGATTGAACCCTATTCCTTCCTTAAACATTCCGTACACTTCTAGACCCTCCTTATCCTTGGTTTCTTTCCTCAGATTCTGTTCTTCTCTCTCGGCACAAGCAACAGATATTTTCTCCTTGAACCCCCTTAGACCCTCCGTTTCCAGCGTTTCATCTTCGTCGATGTCGAGCCCCTTCCATACGTCTTCTACAACCTTGACCCATTCCGTGGGTTGTCTACCCCTCTTTTTGTTTGCCCACTTCGCCAACCAGGGAGGGGGGGGGGGAAAGGTTGAGGTTAGCCCCCACAAGAACGTCCCACAACAATAGCATAATCACACTGTTCTTGCCTATCCCACCCTCTCAAGCGATGTTCTGCATTTCGGTTCCTTTAGCCCCATAACCTAGGCGACTACGTCGAAAAGGAAGGCATGACGGTCACATATCCTTTGAGCGTCAGAGCCCGGTGTTGGTTAGGGTAGGGTAGAGGAGCTCTCTCGAGGAGATGAGGAAGCTCTGAGCGGCTGCACGTTTGGTTTTTCCACTGAGCGGTACAAGGAACAGAAGAAAAAAAAGTTATCGCTGCGAAATAACGAAAACAATACAAGAAACACGCGGGAGGCACAAAGAAAAGACATCCGACGGGGGGCCTTCCCGTGCTAGTCTACTTCGAAATAACAGAGCATCAGGGAAAACACCCTAGTGAAATCGGAGGTCGATACCATCCTTTGGTACAAGCGACACCACTACCGACGACTCGCCCAAACGCAACTACTGTTGTCTTCCCGTACTTGGGCAGACACGCACACATGGAGTAGAAGGAATAAGAAGACAGATTTGACTACACACACAGCGCAGTCGGTTACTGCCGACCGCAAACGAACAGCTTCGTTCGGGCACCACGGAAAACCATGGTTCGAGAGCCAAAGCAAGGATATCACGGGGGGCGACTTCTTACTTGGTGACGAATACGAAGACGATGGACTCGAAGAAAGCCGAGGCGGAGCTGCCGAACAGGAATGAAAACGCCACCGCCAGCGAGAGCTGCAGACCCGGGCAGGGGGGGGGGGGNGGGGGGGGGGGGGGGGGGGGGGGGGGGGGGGGGGGGGGGGGGGCAGTGCGATCGAGACGATTCGGACAAGACTCCAAAGTGAGAAAAAATAGGAAAATTTTCGGCGGGACGCCAACACTGTCTCTGCTAGAAAGAGACTTCAAAACAACCCACGCGGGAGAGAAGGCCACACATGTACGGGAAACAACACGGACGCGTGGCTGCAGCATCAAGAGCAATGGCAACACACGCGGGTAGG